AACTTTTAATATAGCCAGATTTTAAAAACGGGCGAGCATGGAGCAAAAAAAAAAAAAAAAAGAAAGAAAAGAAAAGAAAAGTAAAAGTAAAGAAAATGCGTGGAGCATATGAAAACAAGTCGAGAAACGTACTATCAACTTCCCTCGTGCCATCGATTACAATTTGATCGTTCATTTTTACGCGAATCTGCGTTTGAAACTTATTATATCACTTATGTTCCGATCGAAAAAAAAAAGAAAGAAGAAGGAGAAGAAGGAGATAGAAAGAAAAAAAAATGAATCGTAAGACTTGTTTCGTATCGATCGATGTAACGATCATTCGTGTGCAAGTAGTCAAGATCAACGAAGCGCCAGCCTCGTGTGAGTATATCCTACATTTCAAACGTTACTGATACCAAAAAAAAAAAAAAAATAAAAAAAAAATAAATTGACGACAAATCGAAATACGATCGTTGTTCAAACCAGTTTACTATTTTTTTTTTCCTTCTTCTCATTTTCCACCCTCTCTCCCTTTCGTACGAAATATGTTCTCAAAAAAATTTTATAGAAGAATTCTAAATCGAAAATGGAAAGATTGAGATCTGGATGAGATTCGAAGCTCGAAAAGTCAATGGCTGCGGAAGAAGATCGAGCAAGTAAATCGAGTGCATCGATTCGCCAATTTACAAGTAACAAAGCGCTCGTTGGTGATTCACGCAGCGGCGTAGGAGGCAATCAAGTGCAAAGCACACGTTGAAATCGTAAACGCGGCTTGGTTTATTGGCATTTCAGGATCGTACGTGCTGTGAATTCCGACCGGGGTCTTGATTAGATTGTCGTTCCGCAGATTTGATAATGGCTGATTACCTATCAATCGAATAAATCAATTATTCCCTTTCCACTCTGCGCAAATTTTGACACAGACCAACACCACGACACGCCACCGATGGAAAAATAGAACGGAGGGGAGGGGAGGAAAAGTTTATTTTCGACCGCTGTTTGCGAAACTCTGCGTGTGTTATTTTCATGTTTATCCTGCATACGTTATTATCTCGTAACTGAAACGTCACTATTTTCGCGTCTCGCTTGTTTATTCTCCGTTTGTGTAATGTGCAAATGTGATAAAAGAAAAAAAAAAGATTAATTTGACATCCATCGAGAAACGCAAATTGGTAATAAAATGCAGGGATAAACATCTCGATCTTACTCTTCGCGAAGATAACAAGATTTTCGTGATCTGATCGTTTGAAAGTGGCCGATCGAAACTGTCGCGCGAAAGTTGGAGTGAAAAAGGGGGAGGGAAAAACTGATAGCGACGAAGTAAGAAAGGGAGGTAGGGAAGCTAACGGGACAGCGGCTTTTCAGTGATAATTAATTTTTCGCCATTGGTAAGTCCGTAACGAGCTCGTTAAAAAGTTTTGACACGTTTAGACCTGGATTCGGCCGTGCAAAAACCTTTTAAGTTTCCTCCCTCGAGACGAATGGTCGGGCAGACTGAATGAGCAGTTGGTTTCTTCGTCCGACCTTCCGGCCGCAAACGAATCGTCTCCCTCTCTACCCTCTTTTTTCCCTCCCTTTCTTCCTTTTTCTCCACTACTATCTAGCCCACTACTATCTCCATTTCCCATAGATTTTCTCTATTCTTCGCCTCTAATCTTTGTCCACCGGTGTGCTCTTGCCCGATGACTTCTCGCGGCAAAAAGACGAGAGGGGAGAAGATGAGGAAAAAAGGTTTGAAATAACAGTGGGAAGGAAAAATACGGTGAATGTGAGAAAAGACGCAGAAGGCGAGGGGAGGTGAAATCTCGAAGAGAAGAGAAGCGAGAAAGTGAAAAGACAATGCTGAGCCCGCTCTCTTTGTTCCCCTCCCTTGGCTGGATATCTGCCAAGTTTATGAAAGAAACTATAAATTTTATCCTTTAATCCAGCCCTTCCACGCGAAATAATACGAAATCGTCGTACGTGTAACGAATTTCGCCGAACGAAATTACTTCAACAATCGCGCTATATGTTCCAAGGACTCTTACGACCCTTTCCTCGAACGCAAGTTTCGAACAATCGTTTGGAGAACCGTCGTTAGACGAAAAAGTACGTAGGGCAGATTCTTCCCTCACCCGTAACGATCAACTCCTAAGGGCGAGGAGGAGGAGAAAGGTTGAAAAATTGGCGAAAAGCGCAAGATTAATCGAGACAGCCACGTGTATCGAATAGGGGTATGAAATGAAATATCGATGGCCCGAATTTTGGCCCTCGAGCGATCGGAAGATGAGGTATCAAGTGGAAGACAGGATAATGACCGCCGTAGCCAGGAGAAAATGGCGCTGGAGGCTAGAGTTCTAACACACATAGAGAGAGAGAGAGAGAGAGAATTAACGGTACGTTTACGGGAAATTTGCAGCACGGGCGATCTTGCTTTCAGCTCATACGATCGGGAATCAAATATCGGTTCGCAGGTTGATCGTATTCCGGAGAGGGCGGCTTTACGATTCGGTCGATCGTAAAGCTTGATAGCCGGCCCTAGGTCCGGGCAATAGATCGGCCGACCTTCGTTTCTAGCCACCAGACCACAAGACTCGACGGCACCGTTTCACAGAATCTCCTCGTTCGTGAATATTATATCGCGGCCGTGATTGAATCGATGCGGAAACGGAGAAATTCGATTTGATTCGATCGAAAGGTCGGCTCACTTTGTCCCGGCTTTCGTCGACTTTTATACCACCATCGATTGAAAAATTCCTACGGAATGGTTTATACGTATACTTTTGTACAAGATTTATCCGCTACGATCTGCCAATCCAGTTTCAAATCGTTCGATTCCTTCTTAAACCGTTAAATTGCCACGAGACTTGAATTATCGAACGCGTGCCCTCCCTTTAGACACGTTTGTTCAAAAATTTATTCATTCTTGACGAATTCGGGACTTTCCGATGATCACACGGGGAGATACGAAACGGGGAACCGTATCAAATATTTAATACGAACCGAGACCTTTGAGAATTAACCTCTCTCGAGTGTGGCAATCTTAAATTTATCCGGAATTTTGTTTTATTCGCACCGGTTTTTCTTTTTCTTTCTTTTTTTTTTTTCTTTCTTCCTTGCCATATCGAATGAAAATTCATAAAGCGGATACATACAATGGTATATTGATGAAATGTAGCGACGTGAAAAAAAAAGGATATATTTTTAGCTTTTCCAATTCCAAGCGAAATATAATAAAAACAAAACCGCGTGTTAAAAATAAGCGGACGGGGATTAATTCGGGGATTAATTCGGCCAAGTTTTTTAAACGGCGTTCCTTCCCTTTTTTATCGTGTTTTTCCCGTGACGATGACGCGAACTCATGGATTCAAAAAGCAATAACAAAAGTGTCGGTCATCGTAATAAATTACGAAATAAATGAAACGCAAATCCGGCCGTGCGCGGCTCGTAAACGGCAACAACATTAGCACGCATGTTAAATGGAAGAATCTATCCGAGGCCCGTAATATCCCCGCCAATATCTGTCAAGATTGCAACGTAAACACAACGCTGCGGCGTAAAGTAGGTTTTTTATATGAATTTTCGAATAGAGAACGACACTCACCGGAAGTTCAATCTCCCGCCCATGGCTGCGAAACCGTTGCACGCCGTTCGTTCGGTTTATCCCCGTTTTTGCCATATTTCCTTGCACACACACACCCAGTGTGGAATATCCGCGCGCCCGACGACACTCGCTCGTCGAATCCCTGAAAATAGAATGTAAACTTTATGGGGAAACACGCGTGGAAACGAAACGCGTTAACCGTGAATAAGAGAGAGGATAAAAAAAGGGCAAATAATAAAACGTCCCTTTAACCCGAGGCGTTTCTTTAATGCCGTTCCATCCGCCGTCTCCCACTTAACGATATTAAACCGATCTTAATTCACTGGTGGCTCGGGAATAGAAATTTTTCCTTCGTCCAACCTGATACGGATGAAATTCATAACCAGTTCATATCCGCGCGAGAAACGAAAGCCTGTTGGAAGACCTGGCCGCGACCATTGTCTCGAATTATCGAATTACCCTACACTTTTTTCTTTGCGTTCGCGTTCTTCTTTTCTCACGGCGATTCTTTATCGCTATTCTTCTCTTTCCTTTTCCCTTTCTTTTCGTTCTTTTTTTTCTTCCTTTTCTTTATTTCTCGTTCTCTCGTTCTCTCTTGCGAGCCAAAGTGTCGAGCACACGCGTCCAACGTGCGTTTTTTCGCGGAAATTGAAATCGGGCGGCGGTTTATGGCGGCGAGGAATCGCGCATATACCACGGTGCTCGGCTTTTACGAGCCATTGTTGGGATCGATGATGGGTCAGCCTCGAGTAAAACTAGCCGCGCGAGAAAGACAATTTAAGAAAATATGTATACCGATTTATTTTATACGCTACGCTACGCTTTTGTATGCAACGCTCGCTCGCACGAGCGAAAGAATTTCGTTTGAAATTTAAACTATGCGCAAACTTTCGCGTAGCAGAACGGATGTAACCCGTTTAAATTAAGCCGCTTTGCGGTAGGATAATTAGATTTAGAGAAAATTACGTGTGGGACGTTGTACGTTGAAGTTACAGCTATAAAACGAAGGGAAAAAAAATGCGACAGTGCAGGCAAAACACCGCGAACCGTAATATTAATTTTCCTTTATCTTTTTTTTTTCCCCTTCCTCCCTTCGAGATTAAATATCTCGACGGGTATCCGGGATCTGTTCCCCGAGAAATCGTTTAAATAACACCGGCGCCTCACACCGTTCGAAGACTGAAATAATATCTTATTCTTGGTATACAGGTCGGCTGGTTTCTTTCAATTATTATTATCGACATTGTTACCGTTTGACCTGGCGCGGCCTGGTTCAGTCGAAGACTTCGATACTTACATACGCTTTGCATACGCTCTTACGCAAATACGTGATCGGCCACCGGATATTTATCGTTTTTCTTTTTTTTTTTTTTTTTTTTTTTTTTTTTTTTTTTTTTTTTTTTTTTGTTAACTCTTCTTTTATCGAACAGCAGTAACATCGTTTCGACGCGCTGGGTAATATAGATGGGAGATTGCGTTGCAATCTGCGTAAATCGAAACGAGAGATTTCGTTGGGGAACGTATTTCACGGCGAAATATGCAAATTCGTGTACAGTTATGCGAAATCGTGGCACAAAAAAAATATTATTTCAAAATGACAGTGACGAAACTGCGTTTTTTTCCTACTTCGATCGGAGGAAATGGATATATAAATAGATGGAAATACGTGGAGTAAAATTTTTGGTTGAAAAAAAAAAGAATCAGGGGTAAAAATTTGTTTAAAAATATTCATTTTATTCATCTTTAGACTTTTCCCGAATATATGAACAAGTTTCCGCAATATTAATATTCTGTATAAAATAATAGCTTTTTATACAACAGTATAAAAATACCGTTTCCATAATCTTATTCGCCGTGAATAAACACGGCTGCGTCATCGAACGAAAAAAAAAACGCTCCTGGCGGTAATTTGAAAAAATAAGATCTAAATCGCTCAACGAATACACCTACTATACATATATAATATACGAGTCTCTGAACTTTTTTTTTTTTTTTTTTTTTTTTTTTTTTTTTTTTTTTTTTTTTTTTTGACTATGACGATCGTTTTTTGTCAACGCGTAACAGCAATATATAATTTCATCTCTCCTCATATTCTCCATTCTCTCAACAATCGTCGGAAAAAGGTACTTGTAAGTAGGTACAGTGAGCGTCGGCTGGTAAATACTACCAACCGATCGACTTTTATATCGTTGATTCTCGACAACGATGATAAAATTAAAAAGAAAAAAAAAAAAAAAAAAAAAAAAAAAAAAAAAACAAAAAAAATTTTTTTTTTTTTTTTTTTGTTATTTTCGCTGGGGGTGGGGAAAAAAAAAAAAAAAAAAACAAAAAAAATTTTTTTTTTTTTTTTTTTGTTATTTTCGCTGGGGGTGGGGAAAAAAAAAAAAAAAAAAACAAAAAAAATTTTTTTTTTTTTTTTTTTGTTATTTTCGCTGGGGGTGGGGAAAAAAAAAAAAAAAAAAAAAAAAAAAAAAAAAAAAAACAAGAAAGATAATATTTTTTTAACTTAATCGATCACAAACAACAAGGATACACGAACAATTCTTTTCGTGAAGCGTCAAGGATAAAACTTTAAACTTTAATAATAATAATAACTAGAGAAACAACAACACCGAATCAATTTTCTTCTTCGGAGGATTGGACGAGACGAGAGAAGAGGACTAGAGCTAAAAGCGGGACAGCAATCGTAAGGTGGGATATTTCTTTTTCCATTCCTTTGTCTTTTTTCAACGATTTTTTCCAACCGTGGAGAAGAGGCGTCCGAATCTTCGAAGAACGCCTTCTTCGACTCGAAGAAATATAATCGGGAATAACGGAGGGTAACGTTCCACGGTATTGCCACGGTATCGCGGAAAAAGCAGAGAAAAAAAAAAAAAGTGGCGAAAAGCTCGATGTTCGTGACTCGTGTTTCTCTTTCTCTCTTTCTTGTTCGGTTAGTTGGCCACTTTCTCCCGCTTCAGAGAGCCAAGCTCCTCCAGCATCGCTTGTAGCCCTTCGGGAACTCGTCCGGCGTCCAATTCTTGTCCCCACTGCCGATACTGCAAACGAAAATAACGGATAACTGTTACACGAGCTTTCAACTGACACGCGATCGAACATCGTTTTCTTTATACCCATACAGTTTCTCGGGAAGTTTAAGGGAACTTGAAAGGTTGGGGGATTGGTGATGCGGACAGACGGCGCTCTTCTCTCTCTCTCTCTCTTTCTCTGTTTCTCTCTCTTTCCTCTTCCATTCCATACGCTTGAATACAAGGAAACGTGGGGGAGGAAGAAGATTTTTCGAACTCTGTAAAGGAAGGCTTAAAAAAAGAAGGTGAAAAAATTTCGTGATAAACGAAAGTTGTTGTGGATACACATACTACGTTTCAAATGTACGTACCTTTAAAACTCTTATCGGATTTCATTCGTTCATTCGTCAAAAGGAAAACGGTCCCGATTTAACGAAATTCAGACTCACGTTTATAACACTGTTTTCGAGCAAGTAATATCGTGAAATCGCGTTCAAAAAAATTCGATAAAATTATGTGCAAGCTTGGTTTCCCAGCAAGTGAGAAAAAGAAAAGAAAGAACATTAGAAACGCAAAGTTGAGTTAAGATTTTTCAATACGGATGCTTCGTTCATAGGAATCAGAACTAATTCTGGAAACTTCTGGAGCGCCCATTATTCCATTGTCCAAAAAAAGAAAAAAAAAAAAATAACAAGAAGAAAACGCGACATGTTTACGATTCTTCGGAAAAACTTTGTACCCTCCCGATATTCTTCTTCTCCTCGTCCCGGCATGGGACGAGAATTTACGATATTAACGCACGCGGAAAAACAAACCCGTGCAACGGATTCCAGGACAAGGCTGTAACTCTTTTTCCGAAAGGGGGTGGATAAGATGGGTGGGCCACGACTGCATAATCGAGAAACGCGTGATTTTAAAAAAGGAAGGGGAGGGGGGAGCCGCCGGAATAATAGGTGTATAACTCAGATCGCAAATCGCGAGAACTTCTTCCTTTCGAAAGGATTTATTATATCGGCCGGTTTCATGGGAAACGGCTATATATATATATATATGTATGTGTATATATACGTGAGAAATGCGACGGAGGAGCGGAATCGTGGAACGGAATAAGATGATGGAAGATAGGAAATTTTCCATGAAGGACTTACCATCTCCAACTCCCTTCGAAGTGCGAGCACAGCCTTTTCGCGGTCGGCTACCAACTCTTCGAGGTATTGATACCTTAGCTTCTTGCGAGCACGACACTCCCTCGCACTCTGTCGACTTCGTTCTGGAAAAATATATAAGGAAAACCGTGAAAATCTGAGAAGCACGCGTAGATTTAATATACGTATATATATGCACGTATTTCGTAAAGACTTCTTTTCGTCGTAATTATCTTCTTCGAGAAAACGTAAAAATAATCGCAAAAAGGGGATTATATATGAATTATAGGAACCGAGAAAACATTCCTTGCTATCGATTCAATCTTCTAGATATTATTATTAGATACGAGGGTATTCTTTTAATAAATAAATAATAATCTTCTTTAACCGTACGTTTCGATATTCGCAATTTTCTTCGGCTCGCAAAACGTTCTTAAAGAAGGATAGAAAAGACGATTACGAGAAACGATAAGGGACACGAAAGAAGTAAGCATATCTGAAAGAACCGACCTTCCTTCTTTGCTAAATTTTTCACGCTAGATCGAAACCAATGGGTATGGGATACGGTCGGCATTAATAATTTAATACAGATTCGCTACACGAAATCCGGTACTCGTGAGGTGAAATAAAACGGTATCCTAATACACCGTACATTTTCCAAGTGGCGCTTTCTTTCGAGCCACTTTACACGCGTGCTAATTTCCACGCGTGCAACGCAAATATATATCGCTCTATTTTTCGACGTCAAACCATCCGCCCGACAGGAAATATGAACAGCGTGATATTATGGTTGGAAAAAAATTCGCGGCTTAATGATACTCGGGAGCGCATTAAACCAGGAATGCGTTAACTCTTGATGCCAGGGCAACTAGAAACGCGATACTTTCTTTCCGGGACGTACGACGGCACGTACAATAGAAACGTGCGGCAAAACGTGTGTACGCGTAAAGGAATTATGGAATTAAATTAAAGAAGAGAAAAAAAGGAGAACTCGATTAGAATAAGCTTTCGAGACATGTTTAAAATTCCATCGGGGTATGGAAATCGTTTGAAAAAAGAAGACGAGATTTCTTTGTGCCCGAGATAAGAAAGAAAAAGCAAACCGAAGAATACACGAGACGGCAGCTGCGCGAATCGAAACGAAACGAGAAGAAGTTTTCCATCTGACTCCGCATGCAAATACCATTATGCGCTACGACCAATGTTGCCTTCGAATGGTTTTCTTACTGCAATTGCGCGAAACAGGGAGGGAGGGAGTATATCTCGTGTAGAGATATCGTAAAATCGAAACTAAATACCACTACCCCATTCGCTGTCATCCCGAAACGAACGAAGAGAAGCTCAAACTGCTCGCTAACGACGAGCAGTTCGTCGAAAGAGGAACGAGCATCGATAAATAACCCTCTCCCCATCCCGTCATAAATTGTCCCCGGTAAAAATTACAAACGAAGGTGAAGGACGTGGGCGTCCGCCGCTGCAGCAGGTTCAACCGTCGCGCGATAAATTCGCGCAACTCAAAATGGGACGCGCGATTTTTCACGCAACTGTACGTGGCCCGGGACGCGTATCCTGAATACGGCGCATACGTGGACATAGTAGAGGCCTGACGAATGGCAACGAGGCCAATTCGTCTCGCGACACAGCTCGCCAAGAAGATCAACCGTCGGATAAAATCGATCGTATAATAGCCCGTTCCAGAGATATTGCAAATTTCTCCGGGAGCCGCGGCGTGATAAAGCTCTTTACGATCAAGGGTCGCGGCTATTATCGCGTCTACGGCTCGCTAAGCCCGCCTTTTACGCGGCAATAAACGTCCCCTCGCCCGCGACCGCCTCCTTCCTGTCGCGGGTGGCTTTCTTTCTCGAGACAGAGAGAGAGAGAAAAAGGTGTCTGGAAGCACGAGAGGCTTTTCACGCCGTCGAATCGAGCCTTTAACTTGGATCAGAGGGCAATTTTATCGGGAAGGAATTCATCGTGGTGTGGACGGCTCTGAACCGAACCGATTCGAAAATTAAGCGATTATCAATTTTGCGGCTTGATTTAGGAAACTGACGGGATTAAACGAGACTTGAATGACGCGCGACCGGTAAAAATGAAGCGATCCAGAGGGCACGAATGAAATTAGGGAAAATTGGATTTATGGGCGTTGATCGGAGAGGAGAAAGAGAAATCGGAAAGGTTGGTGGTAGAAAGTCAGAAATTATAGTTGTCGGGAGGAGCGGGGAGAAGAAGGAGGTCTTGGCTGGGCGGTGATTCGAGCGAAAGGAAGGAAGGAAAAGAGGTCAGAGGTCGGATGGAAAATTACGAAAACGCGGAGGACAAGAATGGCGGAGAGGACGTGGTTCGACCAGCGGAGTTACGAGCAGCCTGGGATTGCGGACGCGAGAGTTAGTCGTAAAACGAGCTTAAATCCTGTTCGTGTTGTTTCCCATCCAACCTTAGAAACCAGTTCGAATGTACGACAGAGGTTGGGGAAGAGGTTGAGGGAATGGTGGTTTGGAAAAGTCTGGAACAGTTGAATTCACGAGAAAAATCGTTTCGCTCGTGTGACTTCTTCGCGAGTTCATACGTGAACGCGTATTTATAAGAGACACGATTTCAACGATCGTGTAAAAGCGAGGAATAGCGATGGAAAAGTCGCAGGATTAAAAGAAAGAAGAAAAAGAAGAAGAAAGAAAGAAAAGGAGCAACGAAGAGCTGTAACATCCAATGTTCCAACGTTTTCTCGCCAACGACTTTACCACAATCTCTCTCTCTCTCTCTCTCTCTCTTTCTTTGTCTGATTAGCAAAACGACGGAATTGCAAAATACACCTTTCCATCTCGTCGCGGCGCAGAATCATCGGGAACATCGGTTCCAGCCACCGAGTTGACCCAGCATAAATATTCATTCGTTTGGGAAGAATAAATATTCCTGACGGTGTCATGGGGGTCTGGTACCGTCACTCGACGGCGTTCGTAATCAACCAACGTGCATTTCTCACGTGGTTTCCGCAGTGCGAGCGCGGTTACATCTTGTTCTGCCGCTTAATACGCGACCGGAAGAAATGCAAATGAGGATTAACTTGACTTCTTAAAGATGAATCGCGAATAGAGCAGGAAGGAAAAACGATTCGCGATTCGGGACGAGATTGGGATTTGAATTATTTTTTTAAAAATACGCGAAAGAAGGACGACGCTTGGAATTATCGAGTTGATTTACACGAGCGCCATATCGTATTATAAAATTCCACGTGAAATAGCCGAAGGCGTAAAGGTAGGAAACTGCTGTCTCTTATCTCGTTTTGCCACCGTTTCTCCGACATATTTTTACAATTTTTATCCGAGTTTTTTTTTTCTTTCTTTCGTTTCTCGGCCACTTGAAAGTGGCATCGATATAAATCACGACTTTGTATATGATACTTTGGATATCGTCGTTCACGAATAATACAGGGACGAATAAAATTGAAATGGATTACGTTGAGAAGCTTCTTACCAAGCTTGGCTTTCATGTCCGTCTTGTCGGACGCCTTCCTTCCAGGCTTGCGTCCCCTCTTACCCCCCTCTTTCCGATCACCGCGAGATCCCTCCTGCGAAATAAAAAGAAAATTGTCAAAATTTTGAAAAACCTATTTATGAGAATTGGGAGAATTTCGAGCTCTAAAGCACGTTGGACATGGTTAAACGCATACCGGCTACGCAGAGATATACGATTTAAAAATCCGAGCACATCTCGAACAATTAAAAAGCGGAGGTAAGAGAAGTAGGACGAACGAGCAAGAATCGTGAACACGTGCGGAATACAGCGTTGCGGTGAAAAACTTTGCGCATGGTTGTCGAGCGAAATCTCGAATGGCAACGCGGAACATCGGAGCGGCGAAATGGATAGCGGTGAGATCTGAAAGCGGATGATACGAGTCTCAACGGCGACGTAATACCCGCCTAATCCGTTGTTTCTTCCTGTCACTGATTAATATCTCAAACGAGTTGGTTCGAGCTAGTGGAGAACAAACGTCCAACGTTTTGAATGGAAACAAAAGCTTATGACGGGAAGAGGAAAGAGAAATAGAAAGAGAGATGCAGGTTGGCTAGGATCGCTAAAAGCCCCGCGCGAACCCATCCATCGACGCAATCCCTAAAGCGCCCCACCGCCGCCGTTTACAGTCACGACCACATTGACGAGTTTTCGCGCTAGGGTAACTACTTTGCCAAATAACGTAGTTTGTCGTTGCGAAAAAGCTCAGACGGCGCCTCTTCCTTCCCGATCCTAGCCCGCTTAACTTTTTAACGCCCCATTGACGCGAATGGTCCGTTTCGTAAATCGAAAAACACGGTTACCACTCCATTACCGAAACTTGTTCGCTCGAAAGAGCTATCCTCTCCCGCAGATAAATTGTTTAATGTGGGGGGAAAAAAAAAAAGAAACATTACTGGATGAATTCGAAATTTCTCCTTACCCTCTCGAAAGATAAAAAAAGCGAAACAAAACGAGTATATAACTCGGGCGGGATAGGCGTGCCTTTGCCACGGCGACCTTTCACGACCCGTTAAAATTTACACGTCCCCGGAGCACGGTTGTTGCGACGAGTAGAGGCGGCCGCAGGCTTAGCTATGCATGTACTCACGGGTGACAAAATACAAATTCAACCCCCTTTTAGGAAACCTGTTTACCTTCGGCCCTATCCTTTCCTCTCAATCCTATCTGGTATTAAATCTCCTCGAATCCTCTTTCTTTCCCTCCACCGTTTCCGACTTCTTTGCCCTTTCTCCCCCTCTCTCTCTCTCTCTGTCTTTCTATCTTTATGTCTCTCTCTCTCTCTCTCGCTTCGAAACACTCCATCCATCCTTTTCCGTCCTTCTTCGCTCCTCGCGCGCACGCGCCTCTTTGTGGGTACAAAATGGAATTGATGTTCCGCGATGGACGAGAAAGGAGAAAGAGAGAAAGGAATACAAAGATCGCATAAGAATTCCTATCGTGTAAGTAGATAGGGAGCCTCTATCGCGGGACTCGCGGTCCGCCTTAAAGCCAAGAATATAATTAACTCACCGCGACGGATGATGTCACCGTGCGGATACGGACGCGAGAACAGCGATTAAATCGAAAGAAAAAAATAAAAGTTACGCCTCTATCGAATCTATCCATAGTTTCGCGCGAAATTTGGGTCACACTTGCGCTTACTACCAGAAGGGTAGGAAAACTCGTTAAATCCCACTGTCGTTGACACTTCCGTCGATTTGCTGGCCACCCTATCGCGAACAGCGTGCTACCCTGCACCATCCTTCCTGCGCTTGACAATTCCACTCGGATTCCTGACGTGTATCCGATCGTTCACCGAAGGGAACCGATTCGCCGGTATCCGGCGGAGAGGGGGGGGGGACTTTCTGCCCTTTCAATCTCCCGTGAATTCGAACCACTTTCGACTCTACTCGACGCTTTTACGTTTACGTTATCATTGATTCTTACCGATCGATTATTATTTTTCAACGAATAATCTTTTCCGCTGAAACGTATACGTATATCAATATATAAAAAATGTTCGAATCGACAGTGAGTTTCGTTTCGACGAAAACGCTTGTATTATTATTATTTTTTTTATTATTATTATTTGTATATTTTAAAGATCACGCTTCGAAGATTCGCGAAGGTTAGAGACGAGAGATTGCAAGATATCGACACGATTTAACCGGATGCGATAGTACACGACAGGACGGCAAAGACCGGAAGTTGGTAAACCGCACTGTACACAATCGAGCACGAAGGCTTTGTAGTTTCGCAGTTGGTCGGCCGATTCCCTCTTACGCGAGCGCAAAAGCCCGGTTGCGCGGCTCGCTTCGTGCCAGGACTGGCTTCGTTCCGCGTGAAGCGTGATTTAATCTAGCGACATGAACGCACGACTCGTCGCCACGGCATGTACTTACATGTACGCGCCACGCTTTAGTTTATACCTACAATCGAGCGAGCAGTGCGTGACCAGTGATCGTGTCAAAGGCGATCTCACACGCGTTGTTGAAACGTGGTAGAGACGCGCGATCGAATATATAGGCTTACCTTATCTTATTTTCCGATAACGATCAATTATATCATCATATTTTATCGCGAATAGTATCTTTGATGAAAAAAAAAAAAAAAAAAAAGAGATAAAATTTTGATCGAGTTTTTAAAACGAAATATTAAAATATAATGGAAACGTTATACACGAAAACGCGACCACGCCTCCTATTATCTCAAGATTACATCGGTATGCCAGAAATTTTATGCTCCCGTCTCCCGTTTTCCCGTGAATCGATCTCGCCAAAAGAGAATAGATATTACGCGTGTATATGTATATATATATATGTATAAGAATTAATACGAAAACTAGAGAAGAGTAGAGGCAGAGACAGTACGCTGTCTCTGTTCTCTTTCTGTTGAAAATTTTCCAAATGAGGGAAAAGTTGAGTTTGGTCGACGATAAAATTGAAATACAAATAACTCTCACTTTGTACCTATGGATCGACAGATATTGCCCTGTCGGTGGAACTATTCGCGGATAAAAATTTCCTCCGGGTTACCCAGTGAATTTCCATTCGCGCTAATGAAGTATTTGCACATCGCGTCCGACACGTTCGATTCATTTTATACACGGACCTTTCCGCTCTCCTTAAATTTCACTTCGTTATTCTGGCGAAAATTTATCCAAGCGATCGCCCCACATGGTACGGGGAAAAAATTAACGCTCGGAAATGAGAGGTACCTTTTCTCGAATGCATTTGCGATTAATTCGATATCCAAGGCGGAAATGTCGTTCGTCAACGCTTCCTTTTACTCGACGGAATAACTTTCGGCCGACCATCTCCCGAGTGGAAAGTCTTTAATTGCGAAGGATACGTCCTTGGCCCCCGTTCTACCCTTTCATACGGCTCGAACCACTCTCGAATTTCATCAGAAAGAACTCGACGTCGTTCAATTAATTTTCATTATTAATGGAATTACTCCTGGACTCCCTTAGAGAGAGACTCTCTTAAACGCGTTAGCCATCTTTCCACCCCTTAATACCCCCTATTACCCCGAAATCTTTTCACCACTTCCAACTCGGTTTTCCGCGCCTCTCTCTTATTCTCTCTCCGACAATTCTCGTCAATTTTCACTTCGAAATAACCCTCCCTCCATTTCTCTTCCCCTTCCACCATCCATTTCCCACTAACACACCGACCTCGATCACGCGGTCTCGTTAACGCAGCTAACTTTAACCGCTTTAATACCGCGTAATACCCTATCGAAATTTGCCAAAGTCTTTGTTGTATATTTCGGCGCCAACTGATCATTCAAGGGGGATGAGTCACGGAGGCGAATAAACCGCGACGCTCGAATTTTCGTCCGATTACAAAACGCGATTGTCGGAATGACGATGCAAATCCAAGTCTCGCGGATAACCGAGCAATTTTCTCCGCTTCGATCGTAATGTCGCGCGTCGAAGGTCTCTCATCGTCCGTCTCGTTCTTCGCGGAACAGAGGCAGAGATTGCCGCGAGGTTCAATTATTCAGTAGTCGGGCGAAGTTAGGCGAAATCCTCTTACGCTCGTCCCCGATTTCGAAAGGAAATTCATAACAATGTTTACACGGGACGGGAAATAAAGACGAAATTGAAAATCGTCGCGAAACACGACGTCCACCACGTTTTCGACTAGCGAAAGTCGGACCTATGATTTTACTTTTATGCTTTCTCTTTGATCTCCGAATCTATCTTCGCTTAATTCTTCGCGCGGATCGTGAAATTCGATCAAGTATGAACTCGATCCGCATGAGAATCCGTTTCGTCGAATTTCAATGATTGGGGGGAAATGATCAACATCGGGCGGAAAAATCACTGTCGGACAAAACGCGACAAACGTCGTAAAATTATCATTGAACTATGATATGATAAGTTCGTACCTACGAATCAGTGATATCGATAGAAACGTTGTTCACGCTCGACGTAGATAGTTACGACTCACGTTTGTAAAACGCGAAACATCGAGTGAGCGTGCAACGCAGTTACCGGATCCGCGAAGCGCGCAACCTTATTATTACCTCCGTTCGTCGAAGGTTGTACGATCCTCCGACGCTCTTTCAACGATGACCTACAAAATGAATCTCGCAAGAGGAAACGGAGACTTGGTCGAAGGCTTAACGAACGAAACAAAGTCTATAGAAGTCTACGTGTATCACTTATAAAAACACTGAAAACGGTTCACTTCTAAATTTTGAATATGTTCGTCATATATGAAATTGAATTGCTAGAAAGGTAATGCCATTTGTAATTGTAAATTTATCTATCCATTATCCATAATCCATAATGTTTTTAAATCATTTGAATTTTATATAAGTATTGCGCAACTGCTATGTAATCTATTGGCAAATGTTTTTATATTATATTGTAGTTTGAAATTCGATCTTTGATAAATCGTTCATTGATACGTACATTCATTCGCGATATTTATTTCAAAAGTGTAACAATTAGTTTTCTTGGGAATAATTGTATTTATATTTTCTTTAAATTTTTTAAAAATGATATAATATGAACAATTGAAAACATAAAATTGTTCTATTTTGCGTCTAATTATTATAACTATGTTTAATCTATATCATTTCTAAGTTTAGATAAAAATATAATATTTTATGAATATAGAATATGTCATTCTTATAAAATAAATTTATCTTATTATTTATCTTAACAGAACCAAAAAACAACAAATAACTTTCCTATCGATCAATCCAATAAAATTTCATTTTTATTATTATTTTTTTTCTTTTCTTGATTAACAAAACGAATTCGTGTTTCCGAGATCGAAGGACGAAACTATATATGAAAATGAGGTAAACATTATATTCATAGCAAACAAGTGCGAAAAAACAAAGGTAAAAAACAAGACGACACCAAGAACGTAAAAGTTTCTTGGGTTTTTTCACATCATTATACACCGAAGAATTAATGTGACTGAACGAGAGACGAAGAAAGAAAAAGAAATGGAAAAAGAAACTTCATAATTTTTCATCCGCGTCGATGCCACTATATAATAATAAACGAAGATTTCGAATATGATGGCAAGACGTTATATTGATTAAAATAATTGCCTCATGCCAATAAAAATCCCGTATATTCAAAATTCCCGTTTTCATTCCCGTTTCCCGCGCTAAATTCACAATCGTCAAAATTTTTTATTCTAATATCTGTCATTGTCAATCTAGCTTAATTATTTTTTTTTTATTTCATTTATGTTTTAAAAATTTAATCGGTTACGTACACAAACGCGTGAAAGTATTCGAACAATGTAATCGATAATCGTACAGTAAATCGTAATGATTGTACAATAAATAAATGTTTTGAAAATTTTTTATATATATTATATCTATATACGAAATATATATTATAATAACATGTTATTTTCAATGAAATTTATATCTATCTTCAAATAATATTCAAAATATCGTACATCTTATGTACAATCGTAATTGTAAAACATTTTCAAAATATTTATTATAGTATACGATCTGTTTATATAAATTACCGAATCATTGTTCAAATGATTTCCTAAATTGAAAATAAAAAATTAAAAAAATTATATTACCTGAAATTAAACTATTTTAAATATCCAATTATAAAATGGCAAAATTATCTGTAAGTTGATCTCCAAATTAACGAAACACTTTCTGAGAAGCAATTTCGAGTTGAATTTATGATAAAAAAATGCTATAGAATAAATGCAATTTCGTATCGATAAATAACAGTCATAAGAGATTTACGAACCACGAAACATCTATCGTGATGTTGCTCTGTTGTCCATTACGTTTCTATTGCTTTGCAAATATATCGATAAAAGAGCGAGCCTGATGGGGTTGCTCACAAAATTTAACTATTGCGATTCATTCTAACGATTGAATTAATAGTACAATAGAGAATCTATGATATCGCTGTTTCTCGACACTATCGATTTTAAATGAATCTATTTTAATGTACAATACTTCACTTCGGTAATCAAAAAATCTCGAAATGTATCTCTTTCATCTTGATCGCGAAATTAATTCTTTGGCCATAATCTGTTCAAATTATATGATATTTAGTTATATAAAAATATTTAGTACGAAATATATAAAAAATGAATTGTAATTAATCTTATTAAATCAATAGATATTAAATATTTCGAAATTAAATATTTTCAATTTCATTCAATAATCGTTACCCTTTCTTTATCTCACTGCAAAATATTTTTACCACAAATTATAATATTATAATATTCATTGATTTTGTAAACATAATCCAATAGTTATCAGAAGCTCGAGTAAACAAGGATTTCGAACTAACAAAATAATGATGATGCAAAATATTGATTACGTTTTACTTATTTATTAAACGATACAATCATAAATGGAACTTATCGTATTCTACTATATAAATAAAAAATTTATCGATAAAATCGAAAAAAATTCAGAACAAATAGATCAACGTCTACAATTTCTTCCTATCAGACATAATAGTTACGAAAATAATTCCAAATTATATTGAAAAACGTAAAAAATAATAATCTATTTTAAAATTAAATATTGTGACCAAGTTAATAATATGTCAAAATTCAAGTGAATTAGGTTAAACTTCACACAGTTAACAAAAAAAGAAATATAGACCTGTTTTAGCTTAACATCGTTGAAACGCAAAAAAATTTGTCAGTAAAATGACGATAAAAAGTAATCTTCCTTTAAATTCATACGTATATACCGAAGTTTTCGCAATTAATAGCAGTTTTCTCCCGCGATAGACGTATACTGTTGAATTGCGCAGTAGCGTCGCGTGTGGGCGACCAAATCTAAAGTAGCTAACACGATCGACCGGCATTTCAAACTGTGTAACAACATTGAAATGAATCCCACAAAACTTGAAAAATTTAAAATATTCCGCGCGCTCGACTATTAGCAACCATAATGTATGCCGGCAAAAAAGCATGTGTACGTATTGTTGACTGAATAAGAACAGAATCAACAGGGTATGGTTCGGAAATAGTATGTATAGAGATATTTAGATAATGAAGGTAATTCCAAAACTGATTATAAAAAGACGAACATTAAAACATACAAATAACAAAAATATTCTAAAAGAACTATGAAATTATAAAAATATATAAAATGTGTTTATAGAAAACTCACCGGTGCTACGCGACGTGTGAGCTGTGTCAACTGCGCAGTTGACGAGTTAAAATGCTGAGTTCAGGGACGTCGTGCTCGATACCGGTGCCCAAACGATATAATCGGTAATACTAAACGACAAATGCGGCACGTATCGGCGATTTATAGAACAACTTGTGACACTGATTTTAAAATTATTCTTACGTATTTACGATCAAGATATATGGTCCATTTTCTAAACGTATCAATTGGATCATTAGTACGCATAATTTTTTTTAAAATTATCAATTGATAGTTTACAATAATTTTTTTTCTTTCATTTTTTTTCATTTAATTTATAATATATTTTTATTGTAAATAATACTTTAAATATTTTTATCCAATTAAACAATTAATAAAATGTTTCTATTGTACTTTCTTATTATTTTAAATTATTACAATTATGATTGATTAAGTAATACCTAATATTTTTAAATTTACTTACTGAATTTTTTTCTGCATTATGATAATATATTTGATAGCAAATATATGATAAAATATGAAATAAAATTTGACATTGAATTAAAACGTAGTAATGATAAATTCTACACTTTGATATGATATATCAGAATTTTTTAAATATATATATAACAATAAAATTATCAAATTCAATAATTTAAATATTTTTTTATATTAATATAAATATTAATATTAAACTAATATTAAAGAATTTCATAATGTTAATTATATAATAAATTTATACGTTAACTTGATTTCTTATCGAGAAATAGACTCCAGTATATTCCGTGCCTGAATATCACATGATCATACAAAGATGGTAGCGCCATCTTTTGCCAATTAAAAAAACGAAAACGAAAGACACGTAGCGCGACAGTCGACAAGAATGCGAAAGAACAAAATAGCGACATCGAACGTCAGCTTTACTATATGAACAGCAAGAAGCGCACACAAGCAAACAGCTACCCTTCGGTTCTACTTTCCCCTCCTTCCCCACGACCCCTTGACAAATCCTCGATCCCATAGATCCTGACGTCAAACGAAAGAAACAACGCCCTTTGTCATCAGTTCAAAATTAATAAATACTGTAAAAAGCCTGACATTTTGTACGCGCGCCCTCTTTGCACAACATGGTGTAATCTGTTTAACGCGCGTAATCTTGTTGCCTGATTTTCATGGCAGTTTGCATCACACGAGCACGTTGTCACTTTATCGTTTCCTCAAATTGTCGACTCACCGTCTCGTTTTCAGCGATACACATAGGCTCCAGTTCCATGACTCTCGTGATTTTACTTCTTTTCGATGTTCCTCAAGCAAATACTTTGTGACACTCTTTGTTAGATCGTGATTGTATTCTATTCTCAATACTTTACAACGGCAACGTGTGTCTGTTTACAAACACTGCAAGGTCACACAGCAGACCCCCAGACCTCTGACTGTCGAGTATTTCGTATTACGTCACGATTATCGATGATAGCGCCACTTACGATGAAGTAATGAAATATTACGAAATTACTGTCGATAAATAATCAAATCACGGAATTAGTTCAGCATATTTCAATATTAAATTCTTATGAAATTTAGAATATAATATAAAATTTTGATTTCGAAAAGAAATAAAAAAAAATCCATTATGTTATTTAGTTAGATTTGTTATACAGAATTTGAAAACGAATCTATAAAACGAATAAATTTGAAAAACATTAATCTAAAAAACATCAATCTAAATGTATAAATATCTTCCTCATATTTCTATTTTATTTTAAAATTATTTTAAAAAAGTAATTAATATTATTTTTAAAAAATAAAAGAAAAAAATAAGTTTTATATTAAAAAATATATGAATAATATGTATATAATTAATAATAATATATATATATTAATCTATTTTTATGATATTTCTTATTTTTTCTTCATTGTGTAATATGGAATAGTATCATGTAGTAAATCTGTATTATATTTTATTCGTGACCGAATAAGTTTCAAGTTTTCAAAAATTTAAACATTAAAATTTTTGATCATTTTTAAATATTTATATAGATAATTTTAGAAATATAATCATGTGATTAAAACTATTTTTGATACAAAATGCTTTTTTTGTGATCTATTATTTGGTTTTAAAAATCTAAATGATAATATTACGAAGAATTTATAAAATATTATGCAGTATGAACGAAAAAGCTCAATTGGATCCTGAATATAACTGGATTATACGAACTTGCACGAATGCTTTTAACGTATATTTAACTATGCTTCATTTTACATTTTACGATAATACTGTAAATATGCATCCAAATATAACCCGTAAGTAAAAAACATTTTCATATAAAATTTAAAATCCTTATAAAGTTCAGATAAAGATTAAGATATAACTTTGAATAAAGTTACAGAAGCTTTATCGTACCCTTTATTCATGATGTTGGTGGACCTTGTGGTATATTCCATATTGCAATAAATATTAAAAATTAAATCTGCCCAAAATATGTATAAACACAAAAAACATTTTTATTATTAGAAGAACAAATATGCGTTTTAATTATCGTCATTTACATATGTGCTTTACATTATATAGTTAAAATTTTAGATTCCATGATATCCATTATCGGAACCGTTTCTATATTTGTGTAAATATCCATTATCATAAAAATCATCTCGATAATTTTTATCATAACCTTCCCTAAGAAGGTAATATATATTTTTTTTATAATCTTTTTGTCCATGTAGAAAATATCTATATAATATAATAAACAAATCATTAATTATTAATTATTTGATACATATTAATGATCTTAGAAATATTATGAAATTACCGATAATCTTTTAATAAGG